AAACACCTACAATCTTGTATACAGAATATCAGTCACATAAATTACATAAGCTTAAGGAGGCATTCTCTGCAGCTGCCTTACTGAGGCATGGCTTTTCTTCTGCATAAGAAGGCAGCCAGAGCAGACTAATCAATGAAAAAGCACAACATAACATGGTCTTATTTTTTATAAATTTTTGAAAAGACAAATGCACATGTAACTCCTGGAGGGAAACTTCCAAAAGCATCCACAAGCAGTTAGTTTTTTTTTCCCACTGAATGTACAACTGTTACATGCCACTAAATAATTTTTGAAGACTAATGATGTAACACCCTGAACTTCATGAGAACAGGAAAGGCTCCATGCCAAGAATTCAGCTTTTAATACCTTATTCATCTTCCCCACGAGGAGCAAATAATAAAAGGACTGCTGGGGAAGTAACGGGAGAGGGAAGAACAAGGGCCCTGGAGTCACCTGCCAGCACTGGCTTCCTAAACCTGTGCATTTCACCAGCTCCTCACCCTTCAAAGGAAAAAGTCCTCTGCTCTTTGCACCCCAGGATGTGTACCCTCTGTACCCTGACTTTCCACCATGCCCCATCCTGCTCTCCTTTCTACTTTAGGTTTATGCCGAGTGTCACCAAAGTGTCACCTCCCCAAGCCAATGCTGTTTCTTGGTGTCACATCCAGACCCATGCCCTTCCTCCCTCTCATTTCAGACTCTGCCTTGACATTGCTCTTTATAAGCCTCTGGCTTCTCCAGGTTTCCAAAGGTCTCCTATCTCTGGTTCCCCTGCCCTCTTTTTCCTTTTTCATTAGCCTATAAACCCAAACACACACACATGCACCAAAGACTTTCAGACTGGGTCTTGGCCTACTCCATCTCTCTGTGTAGCTTCCCCTGAGGAACTTTTTCTCTTCTGCCTAGTCTTGTGCTGGCCAGGGATTCTGCCCCAAACTTACAGAGGTTTGGGCTGCAGCAGCTTGTTCTTAAAAGAGTAAAATGTTAAATGGCAGCTCTGAGGGCAAGTGACACATTTCTTCCTTAGAACTGACTGGGCTCTTGCTTGAGTACTGTAAGTCTTTTTTTTTTTTTTTTTTTTTTTTTGTCTTTTTGTCTGCCAACATATTCTCTTGGGCTGGTCAGACATCACAGAGAAGGTACCTCATCCTCTGTGATGCCAGGCTTGAAGCCAGGTCAGGAAGAAAGATGGGGGTTGCTCACTATTAGCTTGTGAGCTTTCTCTAAATTTCTACTTTCAGAATGTCTCCTCACTACATGTGCAATGTGTCTGGTGTCTCTCAATCCAGTTAAGTCTCTGGCTTACTCCTTCCATCTTCTGCCAAGATGGCTACTTGGAGAGAGAGATAGGGCTGTGAGTCCTGCTTCTTAGATGTTTAAGTAATCCTCTTGTTCTCAGTCCTCCCTCTGGCCCCCTTTCCAGAGATTCCTGAGGTCTAAAGGGAGGTCATGGTCAAAGGTAGCTGCTTCAAGGCCAGTAGCTGAGTGAGCATTTGCCTATCTGCTTTGTGGCAAGCATCTCCTGTCCTGCTAATTTTGATTTTATGCTTAAAGAAATTCCTTCACTGTTCTTTTAGAGAAATGTGATTAATCCACATTCTTTCACCTCTATGACTTAAGTTTTTTTTTTTTTTTTACGGTACTGGGGATTGAACTCAGAGCCTTGTGCTTACCAGGCAAGCACTTATTCTACTGAGCTATCTCCCCAGCCCCCTTTGTTTGTGTTTGAGACATGGCCTCACTATGTAGCCCAGGCTGGCACTGACCTTGTGGCATCCCTTCTGCCTCAGCCTCCTGAGTGCTGGGGTTACAGGCATGCACTACCATGCCTTATAGTAACTTAAGCATTACTGTTCTACTTCATAAGAGAAAAAGAGAGTTGGAAAGCTATATTACTTGCTGAAGGTCACCCAGCCAATACACAATAGAGCTGTATTTTGAACTTATCATTGGAGCCCAAGTGTCAGCACACAGACTTGAACTTAGGGCTGTCCAAGTTTGTTCAGAATTTGTTCTCTAGCACAGCCTACTCCCCTATCTCTAAGGCTCACCCAGGGCTCAAGAATATACTCCCCCGGATCCAAGAGCTGTCTTGTACAGTTTGTGTTTTCATTTTTCCCTTTTTTTTTTTTCAGCACCAGGGATTGAACTCAGGAACTTGCGCTTGGCAGGCAAGGACTTATTCTACTGAGCTATCTCCCCGGCCCATGTTTCCATATTTCTTAAAGTCAGTATATCTGAATTAATCTAGAAAAACCCCCTTACAATTTATCACTGTCTAGGGATTATGGGGTCTGTACGTGCATTTCTGTTTGTCATCTCATTGCTCTTGAGCTCTTTCATCATTTCAGACTAATGAAAAGAGAACAGAGTCCCCCTTACTCTATAAACAGTACTTTGCAACAAGGGAATGAAAATAAGTGAGGGTCTAATGTGAGAACTAAGGAGAAAAAGTGGTGGAAGAATGTCAGCCCATCCCACGAGTGAATTTGGGCTCTTTATGAAAGATGCTGAAAGGGTGATACTCAAAGCCTTCAAAGTTGTGAGTGCCAATCCTATTTCAGCAAATCATCAAAGAGCAAGAGTATACTAATGTTTATTTGAATATTACTAAATTGGGAATTGTGTCTTAATTTACTTTTTCTTGTTTTGCAATATTAGGAATTGAACCTAGGGCCTCTGCACTGAGCTACATTTTTAGAGGTTTTTTGTTTTTTTTTTTAATTTTTATTTATTGCATACAGGATCTCACCACATAGTTCAGACTCAGTGATCCTCCTGGCTCAGCCTCCCCAGCACTTGGATTACAGGTGTGCACCACCACACCATTTCTGGGCTGGTAAGGCGCGTCCAGGGTTCCAGGGCCAGCATGACATGTGGTACGAGGGATCAAACTCCTTGCACTTGCTAAGCAGGCACTTACTTAGAATGCTGAGCTATCTCCCCAGCCTTCCTAGAGGTTTTAGTTTTTTAATTTGTTTTGAGATAAATAGGGTCTTGCTAAGTCATTAAGTTCTCTGGCCTTGAACTTGGAATCCTTTTTTTTTTTTATGCATTTGGTACAGGGTCTATGTGGTGTTCAGGGTTTCACTATGTAGATTGGACTCATAGTGAACCTGTTTTCAGCCTTCCAAGTGCTGGGATTACAGGTGCGCGCCACCACGTCCAGTCTAAATTGCTGTCTCAGCATGCCCAGGGGCGGGGCTGCCACTGCATGGCATGCCAGTGATCAAACCTAGCTGCTGCATTCTGCCGAAGAAGTCACTTTAGTCTGCTGAGCTATCTGGCTGGCCCCGAAACCTCCTATCTCAGGACCCCAGATGGTTGGTTGCTTTTGTTTTTAATAGCTGACTAGGAGTGAAAAGCCTAAGGACTGACATCTATTATACAGACATAACAGTCAAGGGCTCAATGACTGTTTGGTCAATGACACACCACACAGAGGTCCTGTAAGATTCAATGAAAGTTTCCTATCACCTAATGATATGACAGCCCTCACAACCACTGTAGTACAACCCATCAGCCATGGTGGTTTACATACTGTACTGCCAGTTATATAAAAGTGTGGCACATACAATTATGAACAATGCACAATACTTAATGACGGTTACTAGTTTATGTAATTTTTCCTTTATCTTCAAGAGTATACTCCTTCTTATATACTAAAAAGAAGCCCACTATACCCATGACCTATTATACTTAGAACCCTCATGTTTTTAGTGATTATCTGTCTGTCTGCCTGTCTCTGTCTGCGACTGAACCCAGTGCATGTAAAGCGGCTACTACCTCCCTAGCCCTATTTTATTCTGAGACAGGGTCTCACTAAGTTACTAAATTCCCCAGCTTGCACTCAAATTTCTAATTCTCCTGCCTCAGCTTCTCAGGGCTGGGATTGCAGGCTTGCAGTACTACCCCTACCTGACTGCATCTCTTGACCTCATCAGCAGGTCAAATCCCGGGACCTGTACCATCTCAGTCTGTGAAAACTCTTGGAGAATGGGACAATGGTGTACTTCTTGGAACACATCACCATTAAGTGACATGACTGTATGCAGACGTAACATAATAATTTAGGTATACATGGGGGTCAGAGAGACTTGGCCAAAAAGACATGTCCTCTACTCCTAGGTTAGAACCAAGTTAGTAGAGTATAGGGATCTAATCACTGTGGGGACTTTTCTTTCCTTTAATAATGCTTCTCTTACCTCTCTTACCTTCTTCACTTTTCTTTTGCATAATGGGTTATTAATGTATGTGTCTTTCCTAAATGACAAATAGGGTAAAACATTAGCCATTTTTACAGTGTATATTCATAGCATTTGGCCACAGGGGCAAGATGACAAGTCCTGTAACTGTTTTTTAAAAGAAATCACGTTCAGTATAGGATTAGCATCTTTAATCCAAAAATCTGAGAATTTGATTGCCTACATGATGCCACAAGTAGAAAATTCTACACTTGGCTCCATGTGACTGGTCAAAGTTAAAACTCAAGTGAACTAAAAATATTGTATGAAATTGTCTTTGGGCTATTTGCAGGGAGATTTGGGTCTCACGTCTAAGATATCTCATTAGGTATATGCAAACATTTCAAAATCAAGGGGAAAAAAACCCACAAATCTGAAACATGTTTGCTCCCAAGAATTTTGGATAAGGGATATTCAATCTTATTAACCCATATTAAAATTGAGAAAACTGTGGCTACCAGCTTAACTTGCTCAGTGTCGCTGGAATGAAAACTCGAGCAGCTGGGCCGCAAAGCCTGTACATAGAGCTATACGAGCAGGCTTTGTTCTTAAGCAAATTGCAACTCTCAGGAATCAACGAGATTGCTGAAGTCACAGGCTGTGTGTGGCTTAGGAAAAGGCCTCGTCCCTGAGCCTCAGTTTCCCCATCTGTGAAATGGGGACGTATCCCTGAGCGCCTAACTCTCTGGCAGTTTGAAACGCACGGGATGTGAAGCCAGTGGGAGTGTGGTGGCTAGTCCTCTCCAAGGCGCTTACCATTTGATAATGTTGTGAACCAAAGGTAAAAAGGAGTAGTTCTCCTCTTCCTTCACGTCGGCCGGCGACTGAGGCCGTGGCGCCGGCGACTGCTGCGGCTGGGGCGCGGCAACAGGTGGCGGCGGCTGAGGAGGTGGCAGCGACTTGGTCTCGGGCAGCGGCGACTCGGATGGCGGTGGTAATGCATCCTCCGCCTGTCGCCCGGGTGCCACCCCAGCGGAGGCCATAGTGGCGGGACTCTGTCCGCGAGTCAACCAAAAAGCACTCCAGAAGCCCGCCAGCTGAGGGTGTCGCAAACCGCTTACGTCACTACCAGGCGCTCTAGTGAGGCCTGGACGGAACTGAACATGCGCACTGACGTAAAGGGGGGAACCAGAAGGGGGCGGGGAGTATTGCTAGGCAACAAGCTGTGGGGTGGGAGTGAGATGGCCTGGGTTAGGTTGTGTGTCAAGCTAAATAATTAAATAGGAATAGAAGGCTTAATTTAGAAGTAACAGTTTTCTTATTTCTATGACGAAGAGGATCAAAAAACAATAAACAGGAAACGTTGAGGTAAATAAGGTGCCGCATACTGTCTTCAAGGACCCAGCAACATGGGAGGAAAAATGAATGACATTTAGGGAGTGCCTGTGTGAGGCCTGGGCTCTGCGGGCACAGAATCTGGGAACAAGGGCCTGTGCTTCTCCACCGACTGAGCCCGTAGTGCGAGACCCGCGCTGCGGCCAAATGATACAGAGGCAAATAAACAGTGCTCTAAAAGTTCCACATGGCAGCAGAGGAGAAACGTACTTTAACTTAACAAGCATTGGTATGTACTTGTGGGCCGACAAGCTAGGCGTGTGCATAGTGAATTTCAGTACAAAGCAGAGGGAATTCACACCAGGAATCAGATACCCTTACTTCCTTATGCCTTTAGGTCCCAGTGTCCTTACCTCTAAAATCTTACTTAGTTCAGCGTCATGGCAGAGCTAAACTAGTACTTTTTGACTTCACATACGTAATTGACCCCAAAAAGATCCTCTAGGGGCCTAGGCTCAAGAGGAAGACTTCTGATAGGTTTGTGTTTATGCTTCTCAAACCAAGTGTGATGTGAGGGCTGTATTACATATTTCTAGCAGTGGGCACAACTAACTATCCTAAGCTTGGTGAACATGCAGAAGACACAAGCTACAAAACTGTCAACTGCTTAGGCTTGACACTCTTCAGGCCATCACCATGGCAGTAAAGCCCACATTCAGGAAGTAAGGTGAACAGAGCACTTCAGGGCACGGTGGAAGATACCAAGGAGAGCACGATGTTGATATTGGGGGGGGCTTGGGAGGGGTATATGGATCAGATTCTTGGAGACAGAGACGTGCTGTACTTAAGGAGCTCATCACAGCTTTCTTCAGAGCTGCCCAGACTGCCTCAGAGGCAAAGGAAATGGAGAGAGACAGAACTGCAAGTGTTTTATTCCTTCTAATCTTGAACCTCTTCAACTAAGAAAATAGTTCAAGAGTACTGATAGAGAAGGAAGGAGAAAAGGGCCTGTTGGAATAGGGCCAGATGTACTTGAAGAGACTGTGCACTCTTGGAATCATCTGGTGGTATAGTGATGATAGAATGGAAGTAATAGTAGTAATTACCAAAACTATCATGGAATAAAAGTAACTTTAAAGAAAGTTACAATTGCTATATCAAAGGAGCCCTAGAAGGTAGATGTCAATATCCCTATTTTATAGCTGAGTAAATAGCCTTACAATATCACCCCAGAGCCACATTATTACAAAGCTTTCCTAACACTAAGTCTGTGATATAAACTGACACTTAGAAGACGTCAGGCTCATTTCTGTTCTGTAACTTTATGATTTGCAATGTTAAAAGTAGGTTTTTGCTCAGAATCAGAAAAGTAATCCAATAATCATCAATAATATTCCCATGGCAACCGCACGTCATGTTTTCCCTCTCAGTGTGTTTTTTAACTTAATTACAAGTCCCAATTTTATCATTGGCAGAATAATGAAAGCATCTCTTTAAAAATGTAAACACTTCAGGTATAAATAGATGTGGCTAAAGAAAACAAATTGAAAATGTAGGGATGCTGAACAAGTGTGACAAGCATTGACAATTTCCCCTAAAATAGTATAATTAGTAGAAAAGAGGAAAGCTAGCATCATAACACGGCAAGTGGATGTCATGAATATACTGCCTGTGCTGACTTCATTAAGGATAACATTGCTGCAAAAATGTGTGTCTTTATAGCTCTTTACTAGAAGTCAAAAAAGCGGGATCCTTCACTGAAATGTGTGGAGAAATTGTTAGAGACTTTAGTGATGATGAAAATTGTGTGATATTTAATAGAAAGCAGCTAAATTTTGTGGTGGAGCTGTATTTTTTCTAATATAAAAATGAACGTCTGTATTCATAAAAGGATAAGGCTGCTGCTTTCTTAGCAAAATTGTGCTGTTTCTTATGGGGCCCTGTCCAACTAGTGCTTTAAACGTCAGGCTATGGAGCCAGTCTGCCTGATTCCAATCCCAATTCAGCCTTTTTGAAGTTATTTGACTTTAGTCAGTTGCTTCATTGTGCCCCACTTTGTATAAGCATGCAATCTTACAGGAGGACCAGATGGTTTATTATATGTTGTTATGGTTTGTGTGTGTCCCCATGAGCTCATGCATGTATTAGAAAGTCACGCCAAGTTGAGAGGTGGGAATTTTAAGGGTGATTAGGTCTGCCGTTACGAATGGATGTAATTCCATTACAGGAGTGGGAATCATTGTGAAGAGAGTGGATTTGTTATAAAAACAAGTTAGATCCTTCCTTATTCTCTCTTTATACAATGCCTTCCACCGTGTTATGACAGAGCAAGAAAACCCTCGCTAGATGTGGCTCCTTGGTCTTGGCCTCAACCCCTGGAACTATGGGCTAAATGGTTTTATATATAAATTACTCAGTCTATAGGATTCTGTTTTATGTCACAAAATGGACTAAGAAACTTATAAAACACTTGGAATAAATATCCATGCATGATAGGTATCAATGCCTCTTAAATAGTAGTGTAAAGTTGAGGCTTCCTCTTTTGCCAAGGGACAAAATCCAGACTGATGGCAGTTTAAAAAAATACAGCTTCAAGTAAAGCAACGAAAATATCATTTTATCTGGCATGGTGGCATACACCTGTGATCCTGACATTCTAGAGGCTAAGTAAGGAGGATCATAGGTTCAAGCCCAGCCTTGGTGACTTAGACCTTCCCTCAAAATGAAAAATAAAAAAGGCTGGAGTGTAGCTCAGAGCGAGGCCTCTGTATTCAACCCCTAGTACCACAAAAAAATAAAATTAAAAAGGAAACAAGTTAATTTTAATAACGTTATATCCAAACCCATTACAACACAAAACCAATATTAAAAACAAGTTATTTACTTATTTTTCATACTGCCCTTGAAATCTTATGTTTTGTAGTTAGAGTACATTTCCATTTGCACTACTCATATTTCAAGTTCCCAGAGGACATGTGGCCAGTGGATGTACAACTGGATGGTACAGAGAGATTGGTCCCCATCTACATAGGCAGAATGTATAACCCTGTGGCAGAAATGGAAGGAAGAGCAAGGGCACAAAGGGACCACTTTACCTGGTATACCACAACTTATATGTGTTAGCTTTCTGCTACTATAATAAAATAACTGAATATTTTGATCTGCAGAAACTATATTATGCATGTTGAGTTGAATGATTAGTCACACAGAACAAAATTTATTTAGAGGAAAAGTTAATTTTAACTCACAGTTTTTGAGGTTTCAATCTTTGGTCATTGGTCCCTTTGTGTTTGGCCGAGTTGTTAGGCAGCACATGATAGGGAATGCAAGATAGGGCTAAAATGGGCTGGGATGTGAGTCTGTAATACACAGATGGGGCTGTGGGTAACAGATATCAGAACTGTAGCATTATGTAAGTCTTTGAAATAGGAAAAACTGCACTATATATTTTCTCTAAATACAAGATATATATATATATATATATCATACATCATATATATATATATATTATATGAAAAAACCTGGAACAAACCCTCTAGTAATGTAAGAGAGAGGGGTTGGAACTCAGAAATGGAATATAGTAGGCACAGAAACTTTCTGTGTAATGTTTCCTTTCTTTCATAAGTTATACTAGGACTTGAAGCAAATGAGAAAAATATAAACCATCACCAAAAATGACGCTTGGTACATGGGGGTTTGATATGTGGAACACAGGTTCAGTGCCTCTCTGGCTGACATTGGGCAAATTATTTAATCTTTCTGCCATGCCTCCCTCATCTGAAAAATGCAATCATGAAAGTAGCTACCTATTGGGGGGTGCTGCAAAGATTATCAGCATTATTATAGGAAAAGAGCTCTGAACCATGCCTGGCACATAGTCAACTCTATTTCAACTTGAAACTGCCCCATTGGAAACAAACAGAAATCAGTCTGCATCCAGAATTGAGCTGCTGAAAGTAGACCTGAATCACCATTACTTATGAGCTCACTTGTGATAGACTTCTGCTACGTGAGGTCCCAAAATAGCTCCTTCCCCGTCAAGTGGTGCGGGCCTGTTAAACCAGCCATGTCATTGTGTGCTTGGGGGCTTTTTCATCAAAGCTATGTACTTATATATGATTCATTCTTTTCTTTTCATTACCTAGAGCCTTGGGCAATTGGGAAAAGCTACATGATACTTTGATTTTTGTGAGTGGAAAAAAAGGAAAACAATCATGGCTCAAGCCAAATGCAATGCAATATATACCAGGAATCAACTCCCTCGGGCCGTGATTCGTTGCTTAAACCTCAGACAAAAGCCCTTTCCTCAGCTCTACCCTGGCTTTCTTCTCTGTCTGAATTCCATTTGATTTCCTTTTCTTTTTTTCCTTTCAGTCGCTCTTTCCTTGCAGAAAGCTGCTCCATTACGCCCAATTTCTCAGCTCGCTGTGTTGGGGCTTCATTTCTCAGAAGCATTCATTTTGAGGCCCTTCAGCATACAAATTGGACTAGGCTTCTTCAGACTCAGAAAAATTTTCTTTAGTTCCTATTCCTTCTTTTTGTGATTTTTCTCCAGACCTCCACCAGCTGCCCTTTGAATTACCAAATAGCTTTCGATATAATACAACTGAGAGGCAATCCTTTCCAGGAACTAGCTTTGGTCTAAAATGCTTCATTACTGCTCTGAGACTTTTTTTTTTCTGATCTCTTTAGCAAGTAATCTTCATTCAAATTGTTAGGCAAGGTTTTTTTTCTTCCTTCTGTCTACCAGCTGCTCTTGGAAAGCCTCAACCT